ACTGGGATCAAGTCCCTCCTGAAGCGCTCCAAATTTTTGGTCGTCATCAGGCAGAACATGAAGCGATCAAGCGTCAGGTAGACAAGATAATGGCTGATCAGACGATTCAAAAAGTGACTTCGGAGTCGATAGATCAGTATACTCTTGATGGTGGGCATGTCTGGGTTTCAGTGAATCAGGATCGTTTAGTAAAGCGCATGAATCGTAAGTTGCAAACACCTCAAAGTATTACATTATACGTTGGAGCAGTTATGCGATTCACTTGCAATGACATTGCTTCTAGGCGTGCCTTTCATCAGAGTCAGTTGTGCGTGGTTCGGACCTTGCCTATTATGGGCGGTCCGATTGGTCTCAGAGTTGCTCCTCCTGGTCGCCGCGTAATTCCTCAGTCTGAGCAGGAGTTTATCGATCAAGATTGGCAGGAGCTCCGGTTGTCAAGAGCATTCACAATGCCAGAAAAACTGGAAGGGAATATGCTCGTTAGAAGAGAGCAGTATCCTATCAGGCATTATATAGCTTCGACTATTCACAAGGTAATGGGTGACACCCTTGGTATGATTGCAACCCAGATATCTGAGCACGGTTCTGTTTATAAGCTTTGGTTGAAATCACAGCTTTATGTTATCATATCAAGAGTGCGATCCATGAATAACATAATATTCGTCGGACCTCCGAGTGAGACTATGAATGCAGTCAGATCGCTGTTGACGCAGTCAACTCAGTGGGACGCATATGTGCGACATGTTGTTGGAGTCTTAACTTCTTCTAATAGGCAACTGGCAATCGATCAAATGCCTCGACATGTGCTGTTTAACGACCGTCCGTTCAGACCTCGAGATACCCCAATACCAAATGATCTCGCGAGCTACGTGTATTTGCTGGTGTCGACCCAGTATCCTTCCCATTCCTACCTAGGAGAGACCATTCGACTACGCTCTCGTGTAGAACAGCATAACCAAGGAGCAGCCGCAGGTTATACAAGTTCGCCACACTTATGCCCTTGGGGCGTATTAGCGTATGTAGTCGGATTTGATGAGTCTGCAGATGTGCAAAGGAATCAGAGAGACCGTTTACATGTAGAACATACTTGGGACCAAACCAGCCGAGGGTTCCACGGCCAGCGACCCACACCGGTTCAGATTCTCCAATCATGGGAGTACGCTTTCACTCATTATCTGAGAAACAATTTTCCAAATCTTATTCTCGTCCAATGCGGTGATATCTAAGCTGATAAGCGAACGAACTACCATTAGGCTGTGGATGCGTTAAACGTTATATATTTATATATAGGGGACACGCGCGTAGGGATTGCGGCTCATCTGACTCTATTTTCTTTGCTGGAATAGAGTTGAGACACCCACTGCATGAAGCCATCTCCAGCCTGTGAGGTTCCTACCCCGGAGGGTTACTCACTTCAGGACACATTGTGTCCGGTGCTACGGCTGCAGTGTGGGAGCCACTTGTGGAGACTGTCCTGCAACCCTTCGGGGTCTATCAGGATCATTTTGTTCTTGGTAGGGCAATCTCTGCGCTTATTTCGTTTGTAACATTATCATATATATCGAGTCGCTTCATCTTGTATACTTTTCATATCTCGTATTAATATCCGTATTACATGTGTTTAACTTGTTGTCCCCCCGGTGAATACTCGCTCGCTCGAATGATATTGTTATGTACGTCTGAGTGAGTCATTGAACACCATGCCGATGAACTTTGCAAGGTCCAAGTTGTGTTTGTGCTGTCTCATTTTGTCGAGAGTATAAGATCTGATTCTCTGCAAACTCCAGGATTTCGCCTGTCTCATTCATGGTCATCTTGAAAGTACGTGTTTGATGTATGTTGAGGATGAGCCTTAGCTATCGACGACATTATGCTCACGTACGAGCGATATTGGTGGAGCTGGCCCTGATGGAGTTCATCCTGTCCTAGAGCTCCCTCTGCAGAGCATTCCAATGCAGAATGGCCGACATCTTGTTCAACGTATAGTTAGGGACAGAGAAGCCGCTGGGATCTAGATGGTCGGCCCCGTCTTGACTCAGCACTGGCTTTATCCTATGCCGCTTTCCGAGGCCGTGAGGCTCAGGTTTGCGAAGGAACTTCGTGCAGGACAACCCACTTATTGAATCATGATCACAGCTCACTTCTTCATATTGTTCTTGCTGATATCTCAACTTGTATTTGATAAGCATGCTACTTGCCTGATGACTAAGAAACACAGATTGGTGAGAATCCAGAGTTTGGCCAGAGTTGAATGTAGTAGTATTCACAAATCTTCGCTACTTATACGTATCGTAATATCCAATCGAGTATTCTTGTCTTTTTGATTCGGCAACTCTCACAATTTGTTCCTAAAGTTCGGCTGCGATGTGACATGGATCATTCTGGGCACCGTTACTTTTGACTTTGAGCGTATAGTATCCCGAATGTTATATTCATTACTGTAGGGAGGGATTCATTTCTTGTTTAGTGTATATTTCATAACATTATGCTAGTCGTATCCTTCGTACTGTCGTTGTTCCGCCGGGATGTCGGGGGGCCCCGTGAAACGGGTACCGACTTCCCGGCTGCTATATCATTGAACCACTTCTCCTCCACACGACTTGAATTGGGTTAATTCAATCAGTGGGTTTCCTGTAATATCAAATTTGATAGACAATTATGTTCACTGTTTTCGTGCTTAGTTGTTCTTTGATTTTGTTGTCATCTACAGGAACGTATCAAGTGCATAATGTAAGTCAACCGTTGTCGGTCATCCATCGTAGCTTATCCACATATTCACCACGTACAGTGTCGCCGAATGAGTTGCATTGTAGCAGTAGTAGCATCTTCTCCGTGACCTTCTGCCAGGAGTAGAATGCAGCAACGAGGTATACCGGAGTGCTGTCACTCAAAAAGCCACAGAGAATACGGACTGCTCTACGAGTGCGTGATTCGGCTTTGATCGGGTAATCAGTGCGCCATATCCCAAGTTGCCTGCCCTCCCCCAGAGGTGATACTGCTAACTCCTCCTCCTTCCCTGGTAGGGCCTCATTGATACTGCTCTCATCACTACTGACATCAATATCGTATAGACTCTCGGGTACTATACTAGCCGTTGAGGAACGACGGGTACTAAAGCTTGAAGTGGAAGACCTGCTATGCGTAAGGCCTCGACCGATCTTCCTGGAAACGATCTTGATCGTTCTATCTCGCTTCACACGAAGTCCTCTGATAAACATGAAGATGCTCCAAAGATGCTTCCTCATCG